GTAAATTTTTTGTGAAGACAATATCTTTAGTTTTATTTTCGTCGCAAGACAAGTTGAAATCTTTCATTTCCCCCTTCTCCACAAGACTTTTGTTAGGGTAAGTGCACAAAGTTTGCACATCTAAAAGAGCTAAGTAAAATATTACGAAAGACAAAATTTCATTAGAAACAAAAAAACAGTACAGATTTAAGATCAGTCCTCCTATATGGCAATGATTGCTGGACAATCTTCTCGCAGATGGAGAAAAGACTTAAAGCAATAGAATTTACTTCTGCAGGAGGATACTGAGAATACCATGGAACAAATATGTTAGCAACAACGAAGTTTTAGAGAAAGTGAATACAAAACGGACACCTATATTTAAAAAGAGTTGAAATTTCTAGGCCACATGAGGAAAGAGGGCTTGGAAAATTTGATACTCAATGGAAAGTTTGGCGGTAAGAGTGACAAAGGAAAACAACGCATAACCTACGTATAGAACTTTAAGAGCTACAAAAGACAGGGCATCGTGAAGATCCATGATCGCCAACGTCTTAAAAGGGCACTGCAGATAGAAAACACTTTCGCTAAACTGAAACTGGCTTCTAACAAAGCCAAGTGTGGACTCATTTTACTTGAAATATTGTCTTAAGTGATTCATTATTTTGTGAATGATTAAATTCTTCAATCTTAATGTCTACTTCAGTTACCTCCATTAGGAATGGCCGACTTAACCAAGATAAAAACTATTTCAAATCAAAAAAAAATCCCTGATTTAACTCACGGACCAATATTTGCAAATAATTTCCATTGACAAGATTTTACAATTTATTTTGCGGGAATTAAACCAACAGAATTGAATAATGCTTCTTGGGGAGTTATTTATCTGACAATTCGACAATTCCGAAAATGTTATAAAAACAAATATTTCGATCTTTGAAACAAAGTGTTATAACTTATTGAAGTAAATTATTTAATGTATCGATTTAAAAAAAATAACAGAGTACCCACCACCAACGCTTTGACATAAATTGTTAACAGTAGCTTTTTTTTAGTCTTGAAAATTTACTCAGAACAAATTGTTCACTGAATATTTTGGGGCAGCCATCTTACTCCAGTATCAAGTAAAAATCTGATATGATCTGCATTTTACCTCACAGATAGGTTTAAAAAGATGCTCATATTTAGTAATTAGCTTTTATAGAGTTGATACGTTTTATCATTGCCTTCAGTACGTCATTTAAAGCTGGCAAAATATTTTTGGCAACTAAATTTTCTGATCGTAAAGTGGCGAAGAAAATGTCAACTTACCTTAAAGCGCCAACGTATCGCATGCGTTATATGACGGTGGAGAAGGAAGAGCGCGTTGGATTGTTCTCGTTATATAGAGAACGTCATGCAAATTTCGTTCCACTTCAGCCAATCACTGACCTTCCGACTTACATATAAGAATAGTGGGACACGGAGGTCAGATTTCTTTCTGCGGGCACCCCGGGATTACGGTGTAATGGTTAGCAAGCCTGTCTCGCTAGAACAATTACGACTCAGTAGTGAGTTCGATCCTCACTGGGTGCCCCATGCTTTGGGCCTTGTGCCACATCTGAGCTCCTCATGGAAAATCACTTTCATTCTGCGGGATTGGGGATTTTTTTAACGTTGTTTTTATCCCCCCCATAAGACAACGATTTGTACATATGGGGACTATTTAGGATTTTAATTGAGACAGTGATGTATTTTGGTGGGTATTGTAAGAAAGGTAGGTATGAATGTGTTGTTTTGGTAGTAAAAATATTGTATTGTTTGATTGGGTCAGTGGTTGTGGCTAAAAAAAGTTTAAAAAATGAAGACAGATGATCGTTCTTTCCCCACCCCACTTTTTTAGGCATTGTGCCACATTTTCTGTATTTTACGGAAATAAATATTCTTTCTGCGGGTGCCACTCTGATTATTTTGAGAGTGTGTATGAACGGGTATTATTAACATCTGGTTTGTTTTTGGTTTAAATTTTTGGTTAGTTTACAGGGTTCATTCCCTCCCCCTCATTTCATGTTTCATGAAATTTTTATATATTTTTGTATTTAGAAATTGAGTTTTTTTTATATGATGGGGTGCTTTTTGTAGGTTCCCCTCTGAATATGTGGTATTGTGGTACATGTAGGATTGAATGGTGATGGATGACTTCTTGTGGTAAATGAATCAATTGTATTGGATGAATGGGTCATGATCGTGATTAACTAAGATAGCGAAGACCAGCCTCTCCCCACTTCCCCTTCGGCCATGTGCAAAATTATTGTATTTAATACAGTAATAAAAATATTTTTCTGTGGGTGTGAAGGACGGTTTTGTGACTTATGGATATTATTTTTGCTTTAGAACTGTTCAACTCCTATTTGTTAATTTTAAGCGGCCATTTTCAATAATTGCAGGAACACAACCTGCAGCATACGTTACAATGATTCCACTGGTATTTTATTTTACGCTTTTTTATTGCTACCTTTTATACACCCCCGATATATTTTTTTTTTCAGAATTTTTGCTTCCTGGGTATGACGATAAACTACACCCGCGTCTGGGTATGACGATAAACTGTCGAAAAAAAAAAAAACAAAACAAAAAAAAAAACACTTTCGACGCAGTAAAAGTGGGGGGGTCCAAAGAGAGCAGCAACAGCTTGGTAAGGGTTGCAAAAGGAGTCCTCTTGCGACCCGCTCCAACTAAGTCTAGTAACAGAAGAAAAAAAAAAGTAATCTTTCAGCACGGCAATTAACCAGTCACGCGTCGGCTGGTAGACAAAAAGTCTAGGGAGAGTACGGAGGACGATTTTTATAAGAAGGCTAACCGCTTCCCACAATCCTCCTCCTACCAAGACCATAAGTATCAATTGGTCACTTGCTTCCAGTTTAGCTGGGCACAATTCCCCCGAGGCTGAAGCAACCCGTCCGTAAGTATCCCCTCTCTTTTCCTCACAACTACGTCCAACAGCAAGGCCTCTGATAATGTTTTTGAAAAAAATAATGTTGCCAGCTATACATTTTTGAGAAAAAATATTACCAGCTATACATTTAACAAATATTAACAGAAATAGATTTTTGACAAAGCAAAAATATTACCAGGAAAAAAAAGTTGTCGGCATTAAATGACACATTGAGGTTGATATGCCGTAAAACAAACCAAACCAAAATTTTTGAAGAAAAATGAAACCGCTGGCTTCATTAAATCCTCTTCTCTAGTATTCTTCATTGTTTTTACGATAAGTACAGATATTACATATCTTGCAACAAGAGCACGCATTTATAGTTTTTCTAGAAAACGAATTGATTGATCAAACTGATTCTGATTGATCAGAATATTCAAAATTTGACTTTAACATTTCGCCTTCAAACTTTGGTGCCTTGACTGTATGAGTTTAAACCTGCTACCAGATTGGTAACTAGGTCACACTATTTTACTGTTGAACTAGCTGGATGTAACCGTATGTTCTATTCAAATACTTTTTTTTCTCGCTTGAAGTGCTCTCTTCCAATGGCTTACTCCCTAGCTACTTGCGATCTTCAAAAATGTACATGTAACTCCAGTCGCCATCTTGTCTTACAGAATCCTGTATTTTCTTGTCTCTTCTCCTCACTTCCCTACCCACTAAAGTCTTCCCTTTCACACACAGTAACCCCTTGCGTCCTGGTGGTATTATCACGTTTGTTAGAGTGAAATGATTAAAAAGAAAAGACAAACTTCATTGCTGTTAGCATTATAGATGGAAAGTCGACCTTTTCCTCGAGCAGAGTACATAAAAAACTAAACTTCAAGAATTCCTCTGAGTTTATTTAATTCTGAAAAGCCAGAATATCTGGCACAAGGGTTAGGGTGGGGTTAATAAAACAATTTAAAAAAATAGCCCCAATGAGTATTTAAACATGAAATAAAAACTATTTACAAGAAACTAAACAATCATGTTAGTAATATCCTCCCCTCCCCTCCCCAATAATCACTAAATGTGGCAGAAACATCAGTTAACAGGACTCAAGAATTCCACTGGATAGTGAAGGACTTGTAGTGAATTCATGAATAACATGAGTTGCGTCCCCTGGTTTGTTAGCCCGAAAGAAAGTAGAATACCCATAATGCACCAGAAAGACAATTTTGGCGCGAAAATAGTCTCCCTCTTTGACCGCCAACCGTTGATTTTTTTTCTTAAATGAGTTCACAAGAAAGATGTCTCTTCATACAGATAAGTCTAAAACCATTTCTTTCTTTGCATTAATATATAAAAATCAATGTGTGTGTTCTGTGAATAATAGGAATCAATTAAGCAATTATGTTTAATCAAAAATCACTTTTAATAAATGTTATATCTTGTTGCATGCATGTCAAAAACAGATTCATATTTTTTTTTCTTTTTTCATGTAATGTTGCACACGGACATTAATGTTTATGACGGATGATATACTCTTAAAGATAACGAAACCAAGAACAGTCTCATATCATTTGCACTCCCACAAACATTGTGCCACTGATTTTAAGTGGATCACTGAAAAAAATCGTGGATTTTCCAAAAAAAAAAATGAAAAGCAAACTTATCGTAAATATATTCTGTGATATTTTTACGTTATTTTAATAAATGAAAGATTCTTGGCAGCTATCGGGACAAAAGAATGTGATTTCATAAAATGATTCTTTGTCCACTGGTTACCAACTTTTTCCAACCGCAGTTCGAGGTTGAAGACCGAAGTATTAAGAAGAGTTTCATAACGGAAGTTATTATTGACCAGAGAGGATTCTTCCCGGCTTGTGAAGGTCCTTTGTTAGACGTTGGCCTTCCCCCATCTTGATGCGGAGGAATGAGCCATTATTCCACTGTTGGTAGTGACGGATGTGGAACGCTTGGGCTATTATGTCTCTTTTTGATTCATGACCACCCAAGAGTATTTGTGTAAACGAATTTAACGAACGCAAGTGAAATATCTGCACTCTGATTTCTCTTCTCGGCCCGTTATATAATACACCACCTGCATATCTGAGCTTACACCACTATTCCCAAGTGGTCACCGATCTAGGTACTGACCAGGTTCGACATTGCTTTACTTTGCTTAACTTCGGTGATCGGACGAGAACCGGTGTTTGAACAGGACATGGCTTTAACCAGAGATTAATCTGGGGGAAGATAGCAACGAATATTTTTTTTAGTTTAACCCGGGAACTGTTTCTTTGTGCATTGGTTACCAAAATGCAGTCTTAAGAAAGTGAGTAACTGAGAGAAGAAAAATGTTGTTAAAAAAAAAATGGAAAAAAAAAAAACAAAAAAAACTTGGTTATATGATTACCACTTTCACTCTCATTGTAGCCCGATTGTACTGGCCTATTTTGGGTTTTGTTGATTTTTTTTATCAACCCTTTGTGATTAATTAAAAGCCTAAAACTATTTTGTGTTGTAAGAATATTAATTTGCGAGTGAATATTGCATTAACAATTTTCTTCGAGAAAAATTACTTTTCTAGATACAAGTCCTACTATTTAGCCTATAGCTGGGGGGAAGAGGTGGATTCCTACATTTCTCAAGGGTATTTGCCCGTAAGTGAATGCAATGAACCCGAGTGGAATTCGAACCCTGCTTTCTGAACCGCTATCTATCACACTGCTCGCCCCTCCTCCCCATTTTTGGAAAATACGAAATTGCCATTTATCTTACTATTTCTTACCCAATAGAAGATCCGCTGAAGGAAGCTTAATAAATGAGGTTGTTGTAAGGGTGTGCAAGAGGGCAGCAAGAGGTGAATATTATAAGGATATTTAGAATAGATAACCGTTGACTCAATTTGAAGAGATTAACCCCTTCAGCAGTCTGTTCCATAATGCAACAGTTCCGGAAATAAACGAATATAAAGATGCTAACAGCAATTTCTCAATATACACTGTAGTACAGATTAAGTTCAACATAATATAAAAATACGCCACGTTTTATATTTATCTATATTTCTGAGATAAGGTATTATAATTATTTACATTTACTTTGTTTGGACTGTTGTCCTCATCTTTATTATCATATTCACGACGTTTCGACCCTTGTACGCTCTGGCCTTCTTCAGGATCTGTCTATATTTCTGAGATGAGGTATTGTAATTATTTACATTTACATTGTTCGGACTGTTGTCCTCATCTCTATTGCCATATTCACGACGTTTCGGTCGTTGTACGCTCCGACCTTCTTCAGGTGATTGGAGTTTCGAATTGAACTCTTTATTTCGTACAACGAGGTAGATTGTTCTAGTTCCACGTGCCAGGCCTCTTCCAGATATTCTCAAGGACGCATCGCCCATTGGATAAAAGTGTTGGTTGGATCCAATGACTTGACCCAAAGAGTTGTGAATTCAATATCTTGCCCCTGCAGTGGTGAACAATAACTTGGAGGTTTCAGTTTGAAAGAAATTGTCTTTCCTATTTATTTATTTTTAAACGAGTCCTCCATTTCTTTGGGGTGGAGCAGGCTTGTAAAATTAGCAAAATAACAGTTGCATGTTTTTTTAATACGTGATTTGGTTTTTCTGCCTAAGATTTCACGTTGTCGAGAATTTCTTGCCAACTTGAAGGCTGGCTTTCGACAGGCGATGGCCAGGAGTCTATTTTATTTACTTATTTTCTTTTTTTGCCTTCTTCACTCGTGGTTAGTTTGAATTATCAAAGGCATTTTGTAACCTATATATATATATATATATATATATATATATATATATAAAAGGTAGGGTGTGTGTAACGAATGTACGGCCGCAATTTTCGACGGATTTGCACCAAAATTTACATGCACATGCTCCAAGTTAGTAGCAAGGCCAAGACCGACTTTGCATTTCCCAACTCCCATCGATAGTGGAAATAATCGATTTTTTCATGCTTCTACTGGCCAGAGTGAGAGCCAATAGCTGGCTGCCACGAATAGGCAGGAAGATTCTATTGGCCAGTGTGAGAGCCAACAGCTGACTGATACGAATGTTAACTAGCATGCTAGCATGCAAAAAAAAATCGATAGCTGCATTCGTCACAAGTGGGAAAAATTTAAATCTGCATGGCACTTTACTCCAATTGGCTCATTCGCTTGCTTAAACTCAACATTGATTCTGATTCCGCAGAACTGGGTTGGACGTGAAAAAGTATTTTACATTCTTTTTTCATTTGTTTTTTCCAGTTACAAATCCTTTTTTAAAGCTGATTGTTTTGTGTTCATTTTGTTTAGTTCTTTTTTGTAACAGATTTAATGTTTAGTATAGAGCTTAGAAAAAATTCGCAGTGTGAGATGGGCAAGAAGGCATGTAGCAACATCAGCACGACAAAGGACACTACGTTAAAGGCAAGGAAGGGCAAAAAATATTTTAAGTCAAGTGATAGCGATTTCTGTATGAGTCGTACGATTTTTGAATCAAGCACGGGCAACGCCGGACCATGCTGCTAGTATATAAATAAATAAAAGGAAATCAAACTTTTTTCCTACGGCTCGAATTGACCTTGGAAAATTGTCTTATTCAAACTTTTTCTACAAGGACTAAAGGTTTAATTCTACCCCACTCTTGCCGAATGCTATTACCATTGTTTTTTTTTTCTAGAGAAAAGACTAGAATTTTTTTCTTCCCCTGTATGCTGAAATTTTTCAACACCTGTATTTCTTGGAAATTTATATTCATGTTATCTTCACCTCAAGGGGACATTTTCGTTAGTACTGGGATACTAACCCATTATTGTATGAACTACCATGGGCACCTCGAGGCGGTGTAATGGTTAGCAAGTTTGTCTTGCTAGAACAATTACGACTGAATAGTGAGTTCGATTCTCATTGGGTGCCTCATACTTTCGGTCTTGTGCCACATCCAAGATATTCTTGGATAATCATAGGTACCTCCACGAGATCGCTAAAAAAAGAGCATAGCATGATGAAAAAGACGCCAAACTTGACGAAAACAAAATTTTATCGTCTAAATGTTTGTTATTATTAAGAGGAAAGGTCAAAGTATTTTTGGGGTATTTTTTTTTCATTTTTTAATCGTTCCTAGCACGTCCGAAATTTTCGTTAAAAATCTTTTTTTTTTTTGAGTCATCAAAATTGACCATTTTTTTCCATTTAAAAAAAAACTGGAAATCTGACTTTGAAATTTTTTTAAATATCAATTATCATTTTTTCAAAACTTATTTTAAGAAAATCAGAAATTATAATGTTTATTTAAAATATTTTGAACCAAACTTAACTTAGCTTTTGTGCAAAAAAAGATGTAATTTGAAAATAAAACAAAGCAGATCATAAACTTTCGCGTCTCTTGACATGTGATGAATGATATATTTACGAATTCCATGAGGCTAATTTGTTCTACGGAAGGAGAAAAGTGAAATAATTTACATTTACGTGAACAAATCCGTTATTTTTAACGAAAACATTCAGCGGTCTTTTTTTTTTTTTTTTTTTTTTTTTGTACTTAGCTTTCACCTTTACGTTTATGATGCTTTATGGAAAATATATTGTAAAGAAATTAAAATAAAACTGTTAAGAGTGACATTAAATTTCATATTTCTTAAGAAAGGTATCTAATTAATTTATAGGTACCTTTCTTATGAAATTTTATCAGAATTGTACATAAAATACTATAATTTTATGTACATTTATTACATTTTACTGTTATTTGTATTTGCATTCATTTTATTATTAATTTTGATATTTCATTTATGGAAAAAATGTCGTAACTGAGATTAATATAAAAAAATAAGATCATATAAATTTCATAAGATGATACTGATACTTGTAGGTACCCTTCTCAGTTGAAATTGAAAAATCAAATTAACTTCTCCACACGTGTTTTTTAAAAAAAGTAAAGGCCTTAACAGCGGAGAACAATGCTTAACTCAAATAACGCAACTTAATTATATTCTGGTTGGTCTTCCGTATTTTATAATTACAGCTCGATTATAAGCACAAAATTACATTTCTTAATTACTGGGGATCTTCTGATTAGTCAAAATGATACAATTTACAACGCGCTAAAAAAAGATCTATCTCATAAGGACACTTTATGAAAGCCGATGCGGCTTTTAACTAATTTTATAATATTTTAACAACTTAAATGTAAAATCTATTATAATTAATGAAATAACAAATAATTGTATTAAAAATTCATTTTCATCGAAATTTTTTTTTTTGCTTTCAGAAAATATTGTCCATATTCATAAAAACAACTAAAAGCAAATAAAAGCATTTGAAATTAAATAATATATTTGTTTTATTGAGTTTTGTATGTTACAATTCAGAGCTGATTTTCAGGTACTGCGTATCCAATTAAAAAAAAAAAAAAAAAAACATGATTTGCATTCCTCAAAAGCCCTGTGCTTTTTTAATTATTGTAATCACTAAAACCGATGCGATCGAATTTCTAGCGTTTTCATAAAATTAGTTATGGGGGGGGTAATAAATATTTAAAAAAAATATTTCTACCATGACTCAAATAAAAAAAAAACATATTTATAATAATTTCGATCATCTGTGAATAGTTTCTGAAAGTTTCATTAACATCCGATAATTATTTCTATTTTTGCACGATTTTTCAAATTAATGTGTGTCATAACTAAAAAAACGTGCTAAAAATTGTCTATGTTATTTACTAGTTCCGCTGATACAAATAGAAAAAAGGTTTTTTTTAATCAAAATTTAGAATGTTCTAAAAAAAACGAAAATTTTTTAAAAATAATTAAAAAAAACAACTTTGGTCTTTCCTCTTAATAATAACATAAGCATTTAGACAATAAAATTTTGTTTTCGGCAAGGTTTGGCGTCTTTTTTCATCAAGCTATGCTCTTTTTTTTAGCGATTTCGTGGAGGTACCTAGTTATTTACAATTTTATAAATTTATGTGACAAAGTGTGTGAAATTTACTTTATAGAATTATATCTTAGGGTACCAGTTTTAGTTTAAATTAGTGTTCTAATTTTTTTTACTTCTCGGTGTTAGTTTTTAACATTATTCAAACTTTTTTTAAACCAACAATTCATGAATTTGAGATAAGTCATTTTTTTAACATGTCAAATGTTATGATAACTAAATTAATTGCAAAAGTTTCTGGAAGATAAAGCCTTATCTATTTTTTTTTAACCAAGGATG